CCCAGACTCTCATTTATCACACACACATCTCAGTGCCCCATCGGACACTCTGTAAAGCTTTCCCAAGTTCACAGGAGAAGCAAAGAGGGGCTAGAGAAGGAACGGCCCATGTAAACTTCACGGTTCAAGTTCATGGAAAAAATGCTACGCTTTAGGAGGGAGGGAGTGGCATGCCAAGTTCTTCAATTAACTCAGAAGTGCATTCACAAATTCATGGTTAATTAACCTGGGATGCAATCCCTGTTTTCTCTAGTCACTCGTGTGGATTAGAATCGACACTCCATATAAAAACATGCACTGTTTGTGACTACAAATCGATGGTTAAAAAGTACATTTAAGGGAGAAGGTCGTGCAATGCATCCTTGTCCACATAAACTTGGGAAAATACTCCCAGAAGCTCGCTCAGGCCCTGAGAGGGACCCCTGGGTAGGCACGGGGGAGGAAAGCTGTCACTTACTCTCCGGACAAAATGCAATACTGTTTTGCAACTGGATGAGGCGAGACAGAAGGGCTGGGGCAGAAGGAGGAGCCAGAGCACCTCAGGGGTCAAGGAGGCAGGGGAGCGCCAGGGCAGTGGAGGAGGACAAGGGGCAGAAATGATCCGCTTGGCTCCATACTGTGCTTCATTCTTCTCCAGATGGCAGGGACAAGCCATCTGTGTCCCGAGGGTCAGGCAGGCCAGTTCCTTTGCTTTGGCTATGTAACTGTTATTGACAAGGAGGCCAAAGGCCATAGGAAAAACGGAGGCGGCTGCCTAACGGGAAAAGGTCATTGTTTCGTTTAGCCCAATAGCAGCACCAGATGTGCTAGCTAGGAAAAGGTGCAAAAATAACAGGTAATGATGAAAGTCCTGCTCTATTCTATAATGCTCCCCCCTTCGACAATCAGAGAATGGGTTTAGCAGAGGAGTAAAGCTATATTTCTAGCAAAATTGCTGTAATCTAGCCTAAAACAACATCCCACCCAATAATTCATAGACATGCTTGGCAATAGGATCTTTGATATCCCAGGTTCAATATTGCTGTCTCTCCTCCTGCCCCCCAGTTCTTTCTTGTGTTCTACTTATAACAACACCCACTTATCACCCTTGCTTGACAGAAACATTTGTTAAATAGATTTTATTTGACTGGCAGTGCAACCCTGTGTGTGTTTACTCAGAAGTTCTACTGAGTTCATTGTGACTTACTTCCAAGTAAAAATAACAAAGAGTCTTGTGACACCTTCAAGACCAACATACTTATCATAGCAAAGGCTTTTGTGCACTGTGGTTTATTTCAATTAACTTTTCATAGGATTGCAGTCTTACAGTATAGCAACTTTTCCTGTTGTATTCCCCTGCAATGTTGGCCCTAATCAGGCTTCAGAGATGGTTTGCCACCACAAAAGATTAAATTTAAAAAAAAAATCAATTAGAATAAACAAAGTGATGGTCGCTAGGATCAAAACTTAAAAATCTGCACATCATAAAAGGAACAAAAGCAAACAGACATTAAAATCTAAAAAGGTGATTAGATTACCCATTCTAAACTGCTGAAATCTAGCCATCTTTTAAAAAGCCCACAGGCCTGGCAAGTCTTCCTAGGCAGTCATCACTAAAAAGGCCTTGTGCTTTGTACTTGCCACACTCACTTCTGAAGGAAGGCTCAGCAATCTAATTTATATCTGATACAGTGTTTCACAGTTCTATATTGCACTATTATTACATGCATAAGTAAATGATGTATGTGGATATCATAGGAACATACGAAGCTGCCTAGCCTACCTCACCATGTAATGCTAAACTATGATTAATTGAAACCATAGTTTATTGCCCTGCCAAGGGTTTTTCTGCCAGCTGATTAAACAAACAATGGTTTCTTTGCTCATTCAGTAATGGTTTGTTTCCTTGCTCCCTCCCAGTTGTCCTGGCAGTATGAACATACTAAAACATAAAGAGACTTGGGTCTGTCTGTCTGTCTTTCTGTCTTTCTTTTAGCTCTCTTGCTGGCCACCTCTTACTCTGATGAAACAACCCACAAACTACTCACAATTCTGAGCTTGCACTTATAAGAACCTATGGTCTAAATAACCCACAGTTCACAACCCAAGGACAAAGCATAGGCTCCTTTCATAGGTAGGATGTGTTTAACAATCCATAGGTTTCACATATAACAACTCATGCTTAACAGATAATGGTTAATTAAACCATGGTTTATCTTCCTGTGCAAGCCAGATCAGTACAGCTGTCTGCACACAGGATGGGTTCAGACAACATGGTAATCTGTACTCTGGATTGAATCATGGGTGGTTGCTGAAAGGTGGGCTTTTGTGTTGCCTAATTCAGCTGTGCTAACAAATCATGGCTGAAAAGAAACCATAGAGAGAACCCATGCTTTGTTCTTGGGTTGTGAACTGTGGCTAGTTAATGGTCCATAAACCATGGTTTGCTAGCATGGCTGCATGCAGACAATATGATATCTCACATTTCAACTAACAACCCACTGTTAAAGGACAACCCACACTCAATCCATACTCCACTCTTGTGTTTGGAAGATCATGCTGTCAGAACCCAGTCAATGACAATGCATCCATTTAAAAACCAGTGCTTTATTTCCAAGACCACGATTGCTCCAGATGAGCAGAATGTCCAAACCCTAAACCACAAACAGGTGAATTGTCTAGGTTCAGGTGAGAAGAGGGGTGTACGCTGCAGGCAGCTTGCACATGCTCTCCTGCTCAGGCTCAACAACCTGCCAGTTTTAAAGCAGTGGGCTGCCATTATATGCAAAGCAGGTCACCAAGTCAGAGTGCTGGTCCATCTAGCCCAGTACAGCCAACTCTGACTTGCAGCAGTGGTTCCCGCAGGCTTCAAGATGGGAATCCTTCCTAGTTGCACCAGGAGATGCCAGGGATCAAACCTTGGACCTCCTGCATGCAACTCATGGGCTCCGCCCTGAGCCCTGACCTGTGGCATAGAAGTATGACAAAAGTCGGGCTGATCAAATCAGATTTTTAGTTAGTGACCCAAACAGAAATGGATTGAACCCACCTGAGATGTTAGAGTAGCTGTTTTGGGGGAATTTCAGGGCTTCTCGGATTTCATGAGAGAGAATGTTTTGGCATTGGTGCTGCTGACCAGGAGAAGGCAGTGGTGGCTGGCTGTGGTAGGAAGGGCTTCTGTTCCAAAGGGGACAAACTGTGAATGACAAAGACCACTTTCCTAGCCTGGAGCTTTCCAGATGCGTAGGTCAGCTCTGGCTATCCCTGGCCCCTGGTTGTGCTGGCTAGGTCAGATGGAAGTCGTAGTCCAAAACACTGGGAAGGTGGCAGCTGCAGAAGCCGAATGAAAGCAGTTTCCTGTGGTAGCTTCCTGTGGTCTAGGAAGATGGTTAGGGTGCAACCCAGCAATTCTGTAAAACTACCTGTATACCACCAGGCAGAATGGTGGGAGCAGGTTGCTCCTTTCCAGGGTATGTTGACTGCAGTTCACCTGCCGAAACGGCTAGGGCTTTCTAAGTGTAAAAGTGCAAATATGAATGAAGAGCTGGCATGATCAGGCAGCAAACTGACCTATGACCCACACAAGGCACTCCTTTGTTACACCCGCATACAGGAGACTGCCAGGCTTTACAGCAGCCATTTCTGAAAGCATGTCACTGTTGCTTGAGTTGTCCGATGACATTCAGTTTGGCCGACTGGTGTTTCAGCGCTAATATGAATTTGGGCATTTTCTGCCAGGGGATTTGCCTACTATTATCTGACCCTCCAAAACAGCATTTACATTCTAGTCTGGTCATGGTGTAGTGTTTGTAATCATGCAAATAGGTGTGAGTGCAAGAAGATTGGCTGCCTGGCTGCTGCTGTTGCAGAGGCAGTTAAACATGCATAGGCAGAACACCTTGCATGTTCCTCCATGAGTTTCTGCACCAGTGAAACAATTTCAGAGGAGAAAGTAGAAGCAAACACAGATTGCCGAAAGGTCACATACATTGATAATGGCATGTTGACAATAGAGAAAGATGCACCAGGGAACTGTTTAGGATTGGAGTGTAAAACATGCAAGAACTAGACTGCTGAAAATAGTATAGCGTTCTTGCATGATGTCTAGTAAAAAGTGCGTGCTAGGTTTACTTCTCCCACCTTGTAGAAAGCTGGCCTTTTTCCTATTTTTGGCATACTTCTAATTGGACTTTGAGCTTTCATTGGACAAATCGTGTGTGCTGAAAGGGAAAAGCGTAATGGTACAGATGCTTTTATGTTATTAAAAACAGCTTGTTTACAGACCAGATCTGTTATGCCCTATTCATTATAAGGAAAATTGCTCTCCTTAAAAACACCTTTGGGGAGGAAGACGTTGGTATTGTTTGGGAACTGCTTGGAGAGTACTCTTTGCTTGCTTCCTTATTTATTTGTCAGAATCCAAATTTGGTAGTTGGCTATTTGTGGCAAAAGGAAAAACACTTTATTGGCTGACAGAATATCTTGCTCGGTTTCGCATCTCTCCGTAAATGCCCCTCGCACTGGTGGTTATCTCGCTCCATCGGAAGGCCGGGGAGCGCTGCTGCTGTCGCCCTCGGAGCCTTCCAGGAGGCCGGTGCGGCTCCACGCTCCGTCTCCAGAGATGCCTGGTGGGGGAAGCGGGCGGCCAGCCCCGGAGGAGGCGTGGCCGCCCCTGCCCTTCGCTTCCCTCGGGCGGCTGGAATGTTTGTTAGGTAAACACCGCATAGTAGAGTTTTAGCCACGCCCACCCCTCTCTGCTGGCCAATCGGAGCGCCGGAGCGGTTTCAAGGCCACTCTGTGTGGAGAGTCCCTGGACTGGCAACAAAATAACAAAAGCATCGAACGTTGCAACAGTAACGGGGCTCCCTCCGCGCCTCTCGTCTCCCCGTTTTGCCCCATGCGCGCCGCAGCGCCCCTTTTATCCGATCCCGGCGACAGCTCCGGCGGCGGCGGGCTGCAGAAGCCGATTCGGGGGCCGGTTGTTTATCTGAAGGAAGGAGGAGGCGGGGAGACTGGAAACCGCCTGTGTCCCATTTCCTCTCGTGTGTGTGTGTGCGTGCGCGCGCGCGGGGTTTATCCCCCCCCCTTCACTCCAGCCCTGGATTCTCCATGTTGGACCCGATCTGAGGAACATCTAGGTTGCTGCCTTTGCATGCAGCGTACTCCAGGGCTTTGCAACTGAAGGAGGGGCGGAAGACATACTTCTTCACTGCACTCCCCCGTGTTCCTCCTCCTCCCTGGACGTTTCCCTCCTCCCCTCTCCTCCTCCCTGGACATTTCCCTGCCCCCCCTCCTTCTAACCAAAGGATCCCCAGGGTCTGTGGGATTGTTAGATGGAAAGCCGGTCTATCATCACCCAAGTGCAGAGGGACGAAGTGCTTTCAAAACAAGGTAAGGGGAGAGTAGAAGTTAGAAACTTTGCTCTGTTGTTGGCTTTTTCCCTCTTCCTCCCTGTTTTGCAATTTGAAAAAAACAACCACCAGCGAATGTGTTCGTGCGCGCGCGCTTCCGTGCTTCCCCGCGTTCGTCTCTATCCGTTCTCGCTCCCAGGAGGGATCCCTTGAACCCCAGTGCTGAGGCGGGCGCGGACGGGAAGTGTGCATGCCCTAGCCCATTTTCCCGTCCATTTCTTGGGAAGAGCGGCTTCCTATACGACGACGCCGAGTTTCCGTATGGCCGATCCATAGGGCTTTACTTGCTGTCAACTCTATTTAATACATAGCTATACTCTTCCTTCTGGCACCATCGTCAGTTTTCTAAAGTAGATCCCTTCCCTCACTCGTTCGTATTCCTGCAGGTCTCGGATATATTGGGCCCTTTATATATTGGGGAGGAGCGGGGGAAGAAAGCATGGCTTCTTTGCACCCCGTTTCCCTCGCCGGGGTGGGTCGTGCTTTTGTTGCCCTCGATCGCGCCCGAAGCCTCTCCCTCCGCTCGCTTCCCGCCCCGAGACTAAGATTCGGGGGATTCTTCATAAACACCTCCGTTCTCTGGCAAGAAAGGAGAGCCATCCTGCGCTTGTTTTTCACGCGACCTCCTCCTCCAGCCCCCTCGCCGATCGTCCCCCCTTTTTCCGCGCGTGCGTAGCCAACACGCAAGCAGCCCCCCCCATTTTAATTTTGCTTTTGAAACGTTCAGAAGTGGAGCGTGTTTATCCTCGCCCCCTCCCTTCAAGTTCGAAATCTGAAATGTCAGGTTTCAATAATTCCAGGCCAGCTGACGGATCCCTCGCCCTTAAGCCTAAAATGACAGCGAAGCTTCAAAAACAGGAATAATGATAAATTCAGTGCTAGGCATTGGGAAGTCGAGGATGATGGACGCAGAGAATTCTGTGCCCCCCCCCCCTTACCCGACGCTCCTTTTCTCAGCAAAGTCCCAAGCTCCAGTATTTGGATATTTCAAGGAGCCGAGTCGTAGTACTATAAGGGCGTTTGAGGTTGTCAGTTACTGTGCCAAAGAAAATGGGTTATCTCTTTCAGGTTTCCCCTAGAGTAGTTTGCGACTCCCCCGTTTAATCGGACTGGCTTGGAATTTCCTCAGTGATGACATGCGCCTTGTCAAGGCTTTAATATAATCTTTTTGTGGCGTGTTTGTGTTTTAGATGGGTTTCTTCCTCGGAGGTACCCACAGGACTTGCCACCAGTCCTCTTCTTGTCGCTCCATCTCCCCCCACCTTCATTTGGGCCCGTGTTTATTCAGCTGATGTTTGCTTATCAACCTTTCCCTCTTCACTATTGGCCAGCAACTCTCCCTCCCCTTGTCTTCTTGACGGAAAGGGTCCCTCTAACCTAAACATCGTGTGTGTGTGTGTGTGTGTGAGAGAGAGAGAGGGGGGGAGCTGTAGGCAACAGTTCCTCCCCCTCCCGTTGGGTGCTAATTATTGCTCTAGTCCATATGGAGCAACCTGATTCTATCACATATGTACTCAGTAGCAAGTCGCGTTGAGTTCAGTGCAGCGTCCTCCTAAGTAAACGTGTGGGGTTGTTGCTCTTGGACTTAGAATACCGCCCCCAACCAATAACTCAGGCTGCAAAGGTTTGTTTAGCTAAATATGAAGGAATTATTTTCAGTGCTCTTGGGAAGTGGACAGAACTGCATGCCAAAAATGTAAAAAATGGGCTTTATTCTTCTGCACAATATTTTTACTTCTGTGCAATGTCTTCAGTAAGCAGCTGCCATGAGACAAGATACCCCCCTTGCGCGCCTGCAAACACACACACACAAACACACACACCAGTCTTGTTCATGGATGGAGGCACACACTTTTTTCTGAAAGCGTTTATGGAATGCCTCTCTCAATCCAGTGTCAGATTTCTCCCCCCAGAAGTTCTGGAATTCTTGCATGGAATGCTTGATTCTTGAATTTTGGTCACTTGCTGCTTGATTTTTATTGCACTGGTTCTTCATGTGTGTGGGAGCTCTATAACACATCCCGTGTTTGGAGAGCATTATAGAAATTCGAACAATAATAAATAAAAGTTCCGTACTACGTGTTTGTCTCAACAGAGGCAAGCACATAATTCCAGATCAAAAATTTCAATAATCAGGAATGCTGCAGAGGTTGCGTCTATTTTCTAATGTGTGGTGGAACTGAGGTATTTTGAAATCAGAGGCACCTATTAATTTCTATGTGATGGTACAGAATAAAGAGCATTGCTGTGTTTGATATGCTTTATTTGTGTCCGCCCTGATCAATTGAGAGCTTAAAATTTAGCTTGAGGGAACCGTTGTATCCACCACCTGTTAAAAGAAGTGAAAGTGGCTGGTTTGGAGGATTTAGGCAGCGATAATTCTATACATACATAATTGGGAGGAAGAGCTACTGAACTTGATAAGTCCTGGGTAGACATACATAGGATTAGATTGCATGAGAGAGATGAAAACAGCTTGTTTTAAGTATTTACTCCAGAGTAAACATGCATACTATTGGATTACTATTTTTTTTAATGCCAAGGGAATCTAAAATCCTGAGGAATATGGCTTGGGTCTCATTCCCTCTCCCTACCCATTTATCTGCCTTTTGTGCTAGCCTGCTTCTCTGTGCTGCTTGGAAGGGGTTCCGTCGTCTTGTAGTTTTCCTACGCTTGTCCCTTTTCTGGGCTTTTTGACCCGTCCCTTTTCAGGAAAATGGAGGCTTTGATGGCAGTCACCCAGAAGAGGACTAGCATGGATATGGAATCCTTTGCGGACAAACAAGATGCATAACAAGGAAGGGCCCAGCAGGGTCTGTTCATAATGCGCACAAGAGAGTCAGGGAGGGAAAGGGAAGAGGGCGATTCAGGCATACTCCCAGTGCCAAAGGTTGCCTTGTAAAAGTAAGAAAAATTAGAGGCATTCACTGGCAGTGGTTTCTGCTCTCTTTATGGTCAAGGCATTTGTATGAAGACCTGTTGACATGCTGAAGTGTCCAGACAAGGCCCAGTGCTTGTGTGTATGTGTATGTTATTTGTGAGTAATCTCTGTGGGTGGCCCCACAGAGAGAATGCAAGTAACTTTTATGGACTTGATCAGCAAACAAGAATTTCAAGTGCTTAAGCATAATCTCCTGTCTTGGGAAGTGTCCCCTTCTGGATTTGACTCCTTGCAAGCACTATTTACTCTTTTTGGTGCTATTTTCTCAAGGATTCACATTTACAAAAAGGCACAAACGAAGCTAAGTTTGGTATCACTAGATCGGAAATTATTCAGAGGCAATTTCTAAGGAGTGTCATGCAGCTTGGTGGGGAAAATCTTATAGTTATTCTGTAAGCCTAAGAGTTGGGTATATTTAGCTTAGGTGGGGAAAATTATAAAGGAAGGGCAGTGTTTACTGTTCTCAGATATTTAAAAAGGATGTCCAGCAAGATAAGGAAGAAGAAGTCCATAAATTATTACTCCACAACTGCCCCTCAGTTGTGGAACTCCCTTCCGTTGCAGGTCCGGAAATGGCCAGTCAAGACTGCATTCTTGTTTTAAGTTGTGAATGTCGGATCAAACAGGTTCATTTCTATGTTATATAAAGAAACTGGGCATAGTTCTAAAAAATCCTTTTTAATCTTAAATTACTGTAACCTATCCTGAGTTATACAAAGAGGCAGGATAGAAAGAGCAGTGTAAATAAATACATAATTTTGTGTAAAAGCAGCAGATGGGCACAGGAAGCAAATGTAGGGAAATAGATATGTACAGACAATAAGAAAGATATTCTTTTTGTAGCTATAAAAGTTCAGCATTATGAGTCAGATGTATTAATATACAAGCCCGTGGCCTACAGAATTTCAAATGGATAAAAAAATCTTCCCCACACATAATGTATTAAAAATATAAGCAACAAAATGCATAGACAAAAAATCCAATAGTAAAACCAAAATGAATACTCCACGCTTGCTGAATCATATCTAAAATGAATTTTGGTTCTGACTTGCTCTGGGCCACCCATCTAATATCCCTGGTGCCTTTGTCTTTTTTTCTAAGCATATTGTTTTGACTATAGAAGACATATAACCAATTTGATCCAAAACAGAATTTGAGAGCAAGGTAGGAAACACCATTTTAGGTACCACCTGGACAGGCGTGCAAAGAGCAAAAGAATTGTGTAACATATTGACAGCGAATTATCAATATAATTCGGGTTGGTAATAGTTTCTCTGCAGTTTGGAATAATTAGGCATGTAAATTGCTCATGGGCTCAGTGAAAGTAGGAAGACAGGCATTGTAGCCGACTTCACCTTCTCAATGGCCTTTGGCCTTCAGCACATTCAGTGATTGGATACTGCTGGCAGAGGAGGGGAAATTTTCTATACCAGTCCCTTTAAAGGCCCACAGCCGTTCTCAACTTCACTTGATTTGATCCCTCCTCAGCCAGATCAGTCCAGGGCAACTTCTGTTTTCTATCTGGAACCAAATATATTTTTCCTATATTTCTGGATTTGTGTGATGTCAGCCAGGCATGGGCTAGAGAGGGTATGGGGAGCCATCAGTTGGGAAACTGTCCGCCAATGTAGGTATGATCAGTGTTGCATGGAACCATTTTGATCCAAAGTGCAAGAAAAGAGAGAAAAGAAAAGCAGTCCATGAGATGCTGGAATTCTTCAGCAGAACATGCTGCTTCAGCTGTTTGTGGAGTTGCTGTCTTTGCTATTAACTTTAAGAGTTGTGTTGCACCAGGTAATGGCCAGCAAGATCTGTTCCAGTTTTTGGATTTGCTAGTGGCACAGCAGACCCTTCCTTTTCTCTGCTGAGCTTATACAATACAGCAGCCTCCCTCCACTTGATTCCTTTCAGGTATGTTGGAATACTCACATCTCTCAACAGGTGTTAATATGATCTGCATATCACAGTGTTTTACTTCACTTTTTAGAAACAAGTCGAAAGTCTGCTGTTGGGTCTTTGCAGTTTGTTACAGAATTGTA